CCCCAAAACCCCAAAACCCCAAAACCCCAAAACCCCTTTAAAACTTCTGAGCTGCTTTAAAAATAAAATCTTTAATATAAGAATGGGAGTCAATTGTTGCACTGAAGGCGATCTCTATAGAGATACTGAGAAAGAAATGAAAGTTCCTAGTATTGGGAAGAAGGGCAAAAATAAGCCAGTCGAAATTGACGATATGACAGACGATGAGACAGCCAGACCTAGTTCACCAAATAAAAAAGAACATAAGGTCGAGCCTGATAAAGATTATAAACTTGTCGAATTTGGGCACCACGGAAGCGCTCCTGCTGAGACCATTGTGGAGAAAACCAGGGTTGTCAAGCAAGGAAAGAAAGTTAGAAAGTAAGAGATTTTCAGCATATTAACTCTATTTCTCAAAAACAGTTAGAGAGCACATTACCTAAGCAACTATTCTACAAAGTCCTGTTTTTGGTTATGTTAGTGAACGAATCACCAGCCTCGAAATTTACCCAAAAATTCATGTTTGAAGAATTTTGAATATCTTACTAACTACTAATAGATATAACTACAAGACAATCGAGATTTCAGAGGAAGATCTGACTTACACTTTGTCAAAGATCCGGGATGTCATCGAACAAGTTGGTGAATTCAATTATGGAGATCTTGTAAGTGAGGACAAAAGTAAAAAGAGCAAAAAGATTCCTGAGTCTCTGAGCCCAAGTAAAACTACAGTATTAGATTTAAACACTCCAAGAGAGATGTATGATACCTGAATCATGGTGGACGGCAGTAAGTATAAGGGACAGTTTTTGAAAGGAGGTACTATTAAAGATGGCATTGGTCAAATGATCTATCCCGACGGCTCACTTTTTGAAGGTCTCTTTAAGGATGATGACACTGTGAAGGGTCGATATATATTTACTAATGGAACTGTGTACACTGGGAAGATGAAGAATCATAAAATGCATGGGAAAGGTGTTCTCAAATTCGGGAAGAAAGTTGTCTATAAAGGTAGATTCATTAATGGAGAGAAATGTGATAAATTAAAGTCTCTGCCAACCAAACTGAATAAAAATTTAAATGCTACGGAAGAGGATGCTACACCACCAGCAAAATCTGTGCAATGGGATTTTAATAAGTGGTAGGGTCACCATTTCATAGCCGATATAATTGTTTCAAAGTGTATTTAAAATAAGGGGTTTTGGGGTTTTGGGGTTTTGGGGTTTTGGGGTTTTGGGGTT